ATGATGATGATACTATAATGATTAAATAATATTTCCTGTGATTATATTAAAATTTTGTCAAAATTGTATTGAGAAATCATATTATTTTTTATTAATTTTTGACCAATTTTTTGTGAAACTTATGTTAAAGTTATTTATTAATTTTACTAAATTATAGCAAATAATTTTATAATAATTTTTGTTTATTACTGAGGTGATGATTTATTATTATAGATTTACTTTAATTGTCTGATATATTATATTTATTAAATTCATATAAGTTATTTTGGATTGATCTAATTTTTATAAATAATATAATATACAATTATAATATAATGTTAAATTATTATTTTGACTTTTTATTTTAATACAAATCAGAATTTTAATTATGAAAAGTTCTTATTATATTATTTTAATTATAAGTATAGAATTCATAAAATATCAAATCAAATATATAAATTTATTTATAAAGGAAAGTATTTTTACCATCATATAATTTTTTACCTTTTGAATCTTAAATCATTAAATTTTTATCTTTAAATCATTTAATTTTACACCTTTAAATTAAACACAAAAATAATTACAAGAATAATTAAGAGGATAATAAAATAGATTTATTAGTAATAGAAAAAGAAGGAGAAATAATAAGTACTATATCAGACACAGATCAATAAACTGTTCTCGTAAAATATAATTTGATAAATAATTTGCAGATATAATATAACATATTTTATTCATTAATATAAGTAAAAATGAAAGAATTTAATACGTGATTATAATATAAGTAAATAAATAAATAATGATATAATGATAAGTATCTTAATAATATAATTAATATCTTTTAAAACTTCTGTAATTATTGAAATAGAACAAAACGAGTAAAAGGTAGATCTATAATAAAAAATTATATGATCTCTTTAAGACTCAATTCTAAAATAAGCTAGATAATAATTAAAAGCGTTTAAATAATTTTTTTAGATTTATATTAAAAATATTTATTTTTTTAGAATTGAAGCATACTTAAAAGAGAAATCATAATTTTCTACTTTAAAACAAATTCAAAATATAAGGTGAAATTGCAATGTACTATAAGGTAATAATCATAAAAAATTTTTTCATTTAATTTTTAATTTTTTTAAAATTTTATTTTTTCATTTTATTTTATTTATTAAATTTTATTTTTTATTTTATTTCATTTTCTTTATTTCATTTTATAGTTCATTTAATTTTCTTAATTTCATTTTAGACAAAATCTAAAGGTTTTGTAAGTTATTTAAATAGAAAAAGGTAAAATTTAGCAAAATTATATTAAAATCTTATTAAAAAATCTGTGAAATTCTAAAAAAGATAAAACTATATCAAAGTTTATAAAAATGTGAAATTATATCAAAATCTTAGTAAAAAAATTAGTGAAACTATAATTTAAATATTTTATCAAATCCAAAATGAGTTTAGATAAGCAATCTTAATTATAATAAAATTATATTTATTTTAAATTTAAGTTTATAAGTAAGAAGTAAATCACAAAATAAAAAATTTTATAAAATATATAATAGTTAATAAGCTTAATAAAGAAATAATTATATTAAAATTATTAATAAAAAAAAAAAAATTAATTAAATTAATATATATTAATAATAATACCAAATTTTAAAATCAAATAATATAATAATATATTTTTTATAAATATTATCTATTTAAACTTTTTATTTTATAAATTATAAATAATAAAAATAAATATTTATAAGTTTTTTAATTTAAGTATATATATAATAAATTTTTATTTATATATTTTCTATTAAAATTTTTATAAATTTATTTTATAATATATTTTAATTTATAATAATTTTTAATATATAAATATTTATTTTATATAATAAATAGAAAATTTTACTTTAAATTTTATATTAATATTAAAATAAATTTAAAAATAACATTTTAAAATAAATAAAATTATTTAAGTTTATTATATTATTATATAAATATAATAAAAAAATATAAAAAATATTATTATTATAAATTATAATTTAAAAACTAAAAATAAAATATTAATTTTATTAAATAAATTTTAAAAATTTTAAAATATTAAAAAATTTATTATTTTTATAAATAAAAATAGGAATAATTTATTCATTATACATATATATTATATTGTCTTCTTTTTGTTACCTATATTACATCCTTCTTTTTTTCATTTTTTATATATATTCTGAGGATTTAGAAATTTTTTTTTGAAAAAATCTATTCTTCATATCCTATGTTAAATGTTATATATTTTAATTTTGTTTGATATTATATAATAATAATTTATCTAAAAACAATGCATCATATATAAGATAAAAATTTATTTTAAAAATAATATATTTTATTATAATATTAAAATATAATAATATAAAGCATTTTTAATAAAATTTAATTATAAAATATAATAATTTATATAATTTATAATAATAATTATTTTATTATTATATTAAAATTAATATAATTAAATTAATAAATAAATATTTCTATATTTTTAAAATATATTAAAATCTTTTAATAACACATTTTTTAAAAATTTATTATGAAATTAATATTTAATAATAATTTAATAATTTATATTTAAATTATAATTATTATTTTAATAAATATATTTATTTATATAAATAAAATAATAAATAGTATTAAATTAAATTAGAAAATAATTATTAAAATATATTAAAAAATATTTATATTTAAATCTTATAATTGTTAATTAAATTTATATTATTTTAAAGTTAATTAATATAATTTTTTTTTTATCAAATAATATTACATTAAAAAAATTATATGTATGATTTATTTAAGATAACTTTTTAATATATCTGTATATACTATTACTTTATTATAACTAATTTATAATAGTAATAAATTTTATATTTTTAAATTATTTTTTAGTTTAATATAAATTTATTAGTAATATATAGATAAAATTATGTAATTTAAAATCTTAAAAGTTTTTTATATTTATTAATTAAATTTGAGATTTTTATAAAGGTTATATATATATTATATAAAATATAATAATAGTTAATTAATTATTATCAAATAAATTACTAAAAAATAAAACTATTATTAATATTTAAATATTAGGTTTCTTTAAATGCATTCCTTTAGAAATTGAAAAGAAATATTTTATATAACCTATATATATTTAGAACTATATTGAAGCATGTATTTAAAGAAACAAATATATAATAAGCATTTAGAAAAGATGCATATAAAGAGGTCTAACTGAATTAATAAATACTATATCAAAAAATATAATTAGTTATATTTAATATATTTAAGAATAATAATATTTTATTTTATATAAATAGATTTAATATAAATAACTTAATTTATAACCAATAATATTATCAAAATTCTTTTAAGTTATACAAGTTCATAATCTGTAATATATTTATACCTAAAATGTTGAAAGCTTTACTTAATACATGTTTGCTTAAAATATTTGTTTTTGCTGATCCATTGACTAATCTTCCGATCATAAATTTTCCAAACATACATCCAATATTAATATCACAATTTAAATAATCCCGCAGTTAAAAACTTATAACATGTTATAGTTATAATGAAACGAAATTGTTCATTGTTTACTTAACATTACTTTATGAAGAACTAGTTCCAAATTTGGAAATAAGTTGAATGAACCTTATAAATTCATTGTACATTACACATTGTTTATCCTGAACTTTACAGTAATGTTTGTTTAGTATGTTCCATAAAAAGTATGAATTTAGATTTACGAGTAATTTTTTAATAATTCACGTGTCATTATTTATCTCTTCGCTTTTTACTGAACTTTCTTTTATCTACAACTTTTTCGTTAATATTTTACGCCAAATCTCATTTATAAAGGGTTTCACCAGAAAATTTTTAAACAATGAAAAATTTATCATCTATAAATATTTATGTATTTGCAAGGAAATCCATAAACAACAATGCACAATAAATAAATAAATGATGTATTATTTATTAGGATTTTTTTATCATAAAATAATAGAAAAATAAAATAGTACTTTGTTTTTTTTAATAATTCGCTTAAAATTTCCTTTTATTATTAGAATATTTATAAATAAAGTAAAAAAAAAAGGGATAAAATTAAATATGAAACAACTAAGAAACTATTATTTTCAAAAAAAAATTTACGCGAATTCTCTGCCAACAAAGTTTTTTTCGAGTCAAAAAGTCGAGATTCTTTTTCGATTTAGCAGATAATCAGTAAAAAAAAAAATTATGTGTCTAGACTTTAATTAAATAACGCGCGTGTTTTTTTTACAAAAAAAAAAAAAGGATATATATTTGGTATTTTTTTAAGGATGTGATAAATCTACAATGCCTTTGGCGTACCTTTGTTTACTTTGACTCACGCCTTTTTATAAAACTGTTTTCTTTTTTTTCTTTTTCTTTCTTTCTTACTTTTTTTTTTAGAAAAAAAAAAAAAAAAAAAAAAAAAAACGAATAGAATTTTTTTTTTCAAAGTATCATTAATTGGCGCAGCAAATATCTGCAACCGGGAAGATGATCTTTTCTTTATTATAGAAACTAGGTATGGAAATAAATCGAGTAAACAAACAAACAATATGTGTAAATTCTATTATGTTTTAAAGATAATGTGAAATAAGTCATATTATGTCATGTTGATTTGATGTGATATGAATTGTGGATATTTTTATTATTTTTATTGTAAATCTTTGTGCATTAATGTTCTGTGCGTTGACATATCCAAACAAAAAATTTAAATTGTTCTCTTTTTTTGTTTCAATTGATATGTGATTAATTGTTGCAAAATTTGTTAGATCGTGAGGGGAAAAAAAGTCCCTTAATTAGCCAATCGATGACTGAAATAATCAAGGAAAAAAAAATTATTGTTCGTTGATTATAAAAGCCCTGGATTTTTTATTAACGGTTTTTTTTCTTTCTAGATTTTTTTTCAAAAAAAAATAAAAAAAACCCATTAAAAAATACTTCCGTTTAAAAAGAAAAAAATTTTTTTTGAAATGGCACGAACAAGCATTCTTTCAGTTTTTCGCGTGATTTTGACTTGTTGGCTTGGATTTCAAGTTTTAAAAGCAACAACTCTTTTACATTTTATGGGCAGAAGGCATGGTTATTATGATTCAAAAGGTATATAATTGAATTTGAACGCAATTCAGCACGAGGACGAAACGTTAACCCTAAAATCTTCATATTTCGTTAGTCGCGTTCGTTATTGGAGTTCAAACAATCGCACCCCCAATAGTTGTAATAAATGTGGTGACATGGTTCGTTTTCTGGTTTGATAAACAACAATCAAGACTTCGTAATTGGCGAACACCTGAACGCGAATTATTATGGTGGTTATGGACGACAGGTAACTACAATAAAAAAATCGGAATTTCTTTGTTTGTATAACGGTTACATATGATAATCCTATATTTATCAAACAATAGGAGTTTTTGGCGGATGGCTTAGTATGTTTGGTAAGCTAGTTATTCTTCGATCTTCGTTTTCTAGTGAGGTTAGTCTATATTCCTTACCCGGAATTCGATTATTTTTATAGTTTGCCGTCATAAAATCCGAAAACAAAGTTTCATAACGAAAGCATTATTATTCACCGTTTTCAATCTCACATGGTTTCTCTTCTACTTGATCTTGGACCTTCCAAAGAAGGCTTCCAATAAAAGTCTCTCTAAATAACATCATTATCTCAATGCATTTTTCTTTTATACAATTTTTAATTCTTTGTAATTATTTTTTTTATTTATTTATTTTATGTATATATATATTTGTGTATATATACTTTTTTTTTCTTTACAAACCATTTTACTTAGAACTTTACATAAAACTTGTAGATAATTAGTTAGAATTAGAAGTCATAGTTAGAATGATATAAAACACAATGTAAACGCATTAAAAAAAAATCGATATTTGTTATTCAATAAAGAATTTAAAATTGGTTTTTCATGATAACAGGCACATGTATATAGCGGTATATTGAAATGTACCGAGTTTGTTCGATTATTTTAGTGACCATTTTGACGAATTTATATTTTAATAAATTATCCAATTTTATTATTTAATTATATTTCATTTATTTAAATTATATTATTTTAGAGCTTTAAATTTTTTTTAGGCAATAAAAATATTATATTTTAATATCATTTGCTTTTATTGAGCGTAACCAAAAAAAAAGATCGATATTCAACACCGATAAAATTTATTAATTTTTGTTTTTAAATAAAATTATATTCTTAAGATCAAATCAACCTTTTTACGTCTAAATTTCTTTATTCCTAATATAAATGCACTACTATCTCTATAAATGCATGCTCTATTATTTACTTCTTTATAAATGTTCATCCTTTCTTAGAGAGTTGGCCATATTCCAAATTAGATAAACATAAACCTTTTACTTTCATTCTTTGTACTCTTACAGAAGTTTACAAATTTATCATTTTTAATTATTGCTAGTTTATCATCTTTTAAGATAAATTTTGTATTTAAATCTTCAGAAAAAAAAAAAAAACTCAAAAGATAGTCTTTTCATCTAATAAAGTAACTATTACAATTATGGATATAAACTGTTAGTATAGCTGAATATTATATAAATTTATAACTTATTAACATAAATAAGAAATAATATTGAATTTGTCAAACAATACAGTGATACAAAAAAAAAAAGATTTAATGACTTCAAAAATTAATATATAAATATAAAAAATAAAGATAAAATAAAAATTATTCTTTCAGAAAATGAAGGTCATTTTGTATATTGATAAAAATAAATTGCCCTATCTTATAATAGATTTAAATCTAAAAAATACATTAAGTATTATTATTTTCAAACTTATATATAAGGAAATTTATATTATTTTTTTTTAAACTTTTTAAAAAAATTTATTTATAATAATTTTCAAAATAAAATAATTACTATAAAAGAAATAATGCAAAAAAATCTTAATTTTTAAATGAAACATAAGAATATTTTTTTAGATATAGTTTTTATTAAGCTTATTTACAAAAAACTCATAGTATTTCTTTAAAATAATAATATTATTAATAAGAAATCATTTTTCTTGAATATTAAAAAAAAAATAAAAAGTATTTATAAATAAAAAAGTATTACATTTTAAAATGGAACTAAAATTTTCTACCTAATAATAAATCATTAATTACAAATAATTTTCTAAATACTTTAGTAATCAAAAATATAAAATATATTAGTATAAGTAATAAAGTAATTCTGATTAAATTCAATTAGTAAAAATATTACTCAAAAATATAAATATTAAAGAATATAATCTTTTATATCAATATAATAATATTTTTAATATTTTTTTATTATTATATATTTTTTATTATACTACTTATTATATAATCAAATTTTACTAATAAATATATATATATATTATTCTATAATATTTATTGGAATCAAGTAAATCAAAATCAAAATCTAAAATTCTTCATTAAACTTACTATTAGTGAAACCGTTTTAGATTAATAAAATCAATTTTTTATTATAATTTCTACTTAATTTATTATAAAAAGAATTCTATAATATAAAATAGAATATTTATTATATAAGTAATAAAAATAATTCATATTATTAAAAAAGTAAATTAAATTTAAGCAGATCAATATATATTTTATAATAAAAATTTTTGATTATTTTACTTAAAAATATTCAGAAAAACTTTGAAAAATAAATATTTCTAAATCTTCTTAAATATAAATCTTATAATAATATTATATACAGTATAGTAAGAAAGTCTTTAAACAACTTAATATGTTAATAATTTCAAAATAACTATGTCAAATCATGTGAAAATAATTCGTTAGAAAATTAAAAAATCAAAGTTTTATTTATTTTTATTTATGAAAATTTAATACCAAATACATTTTTCATTTTTTCAATTACAAACCTACAACGCTTCTTTATTGATCTTACCAAATTTGCTAGAATACTTTCTAAAATTTTTTTCTATTCCTCTTTCATAAATCATTCTAATTCATTTAAATTTTTTGGTCACCATTTTTCAACATTTTCCTTAATAATACTCTATAAATTTTTTATAGAATTTAAATCAGAACTATTAGAAGGCTAATCTATTACTATCAGAGTATTTTTTTCTAGAAACACTTTAGCTACTTTACTTTTATGCTTAAAATCATTGTCATATTAGAATTGCTAATGACTTCTAAGCTTTTTTTTAATTTCAGAAAAGTGTTTTTTTAAAATTTCAATATAAAACGAACTATCTATTATCTTTTAGAAATAAAAGGACTTATCTTTCCTTTTACCCAAAACTCACCCTAAGCTAAAATTTTTTTTATCTTTTCGTACTGGCTATTTACCTTTATACCAATATTTTACTGTATTTCTAAACAACTGAAAGTTATTTCATCAGAAAATACTGTTCAATTCTAATTATTATTGAGGTATTTTCTCACTCATTCTACACATTAATGCATGTGCTCTTTAGTAAGCATGAGTGTTACCACTGCTCAATTTTTTTTATAGTTAAGTTGGCTTAAATGATTCTAAATAATTATATGAAAAACCTGAACTTCTTTTTTAATAATTTGGTGGCTAGTGCTTTTAATGATATTGCAGGGTTTTTTTTTACTTTTCAGATTAACATTTTAGAGCTTTTAGAGGAGATTTTTGAAGAACGACCACTACACTTTCAGTAAATTACGCTTTCATTTTTTTTAATTTGAAAATGTTATAATATATAGTAGACCTTAGAAGACCTGTTTGTTTTCTAATTTTCTTTGCATTTTGTATTCCTTTATCCTATAATTGTTAGATAGCTTTGCATATACGTCTTAATGAATATTTATATTTCATTTGATTCTAAAAAAAATGCAATAATAAATTCAACATGTTACAAAGAAAAAAAAGATTGATTTGATAATTAATAAATACTATTTTAGTTATCAAAATTCTAACTTAAAATAGAAAATTTATGCAAATCTAATTTAGTCACAAAAAATTATCTAAAGACTTTCTTAATATACTGTATATAGAACTTTTATAATAAAAAAAAAGAAACAGTTAGAAAAAATAAAGATAAGTTAATACTAAATCTAAACATATTTTAACCTAAAAGTCATATTTAATATATAAAAATAAAATTGATTTTTCTGACAGTTTTTTCTTCTTTTCTATTGCAAAGATCCTATATGATTAATAGATATAATAATATTTATATTAATAAATTAATCTTTTTATAAATTTTAAAATAAAAAAAAAATATAACTTGTATTATACTAATTATGCTAAAATAAAAGATACTGTGGTTAACAAAAAAAATATAATAACTTATTTTTAACTTTAAAAACTTATAATTTATTAACTATAAATGCTAGAAATATAATTTTTGATTCATTTTAATTCTTACATTTTGAAAAATATTCTATAAAAATTTATTAGCCAATTAATAATGCTGATTTTATATATATAAAGATCTATATTAAAAATAGTATTTAATAATTTTTGAGCTTAAAAAACATTTAAGCAAGCTAGCTATTATAAAACTGATACTGAATTCTGATTTTTCTCTGCATGATGATTTAATAAACTAAATTTTTATCTAAATTAGATCATCTAATCAGAAGATATCACATAGCAAAGATTGATATTTTATTATATAAAATTAATTAGACTTACTTTTTATAATAAAATACTGATTTTTTTTATGTAATATCTTCTGATCAGATGGTCTGATTTAAATGAAATTTAGCTTATTTAAATTATCACATAAAGAAAAATCAGAATTGAGTATCAGTTTTATGATAGCTAACCTATTTAAAAGTATTCTAAGCTCAAAAGTTATTAAGTACTATTTTTAATGTAGACCTTTATATATATAAAATTATTATTATTAATTAGTTAATAAATTTTTATAAAATATTTTTCAAAATATTAGAATTAAAATAAATGTTTCTAGTATTTGTAGTTAATAAGTTATAAGCTTTTAAAGCTAAAAATAAATTATTGTATTTCTTTATCATTGGTCACTGTAATTTATATATTTTTTTAATAAAAAAATCTAATGCAAATAAATAAATTATTATTTAAATTCAAAAAGTGATATATTAATATTTTTCTTCTTATTAAAAAATGTTAAAAGTATAACTAATATTAATCTCATTAATTATTTATTAATTTATTATAGAATATTTATGTATATTATCAATATAAAATTCTTTAATTCAGTTCAACTACATCCTTAAATTTTTATTTGAGATTATTATTAATATAACTAAGATATTAAAATCTATTTAATTTTTAATTTTATTAATTTATATGCTAAATTTAACATATCTGTTAAATATAAAAACTTAAAAAACATAATTACAAAACTTTAATTAGAGAATTAGATAAAAAACTCAATTATAAATTTTTGTATAAGGATCATGTCAAATTATATGAAATAGTATTATCAATTGGATTAATTAAATAATTAGATAATTAAATATAATTAATTAGTTTAAATAAATAATTGAATAATCTAATTATTAAATAATTTATCAATTAATAAAAATATATAAAAT